GACTGTGTGATGTAAGGTTCCTTTTCAGCATCACTCATTGAATTCCATTTGGACCTCACATCTTTTTTCACCTAATATTAAACATAAACGTTTCTTAATCAATACATTAACACTAAATACTAATACTACTCAATGTCAATTTCATTTTACATACTGAACCGCTCTGTGTGCCATCTCCCTTCATCCTTTTGCATTCGGCCATACTGTTAACATTTAAAATTTGTAATCAATTTAAAGTTTATCGATACTTTAATCCAATTACCATTTCAACAATAATAACAAAAAGACATTGATACTTACTAGAAGTACATATATCCACCCTTTGGTTGCTTTCGAGTCTCGGCCTCAATTTCAAAGTCATCTGCTCCACCAACAATTTTCCAACCCATTGACTCCATTTTTCCTTCATATATCAGTTTACGCAAATCAAATTATTTTGTTACATACACTTTTCAATATACAAATATAGATAACTACTCTTGTGGTAAAACGGTTTTCTTCAAAAGAATTTGAATGGCCACACCAAAATGTGTCGGCACATTTATACAACCTATAATATCATTTTCTACCTATAATATTTAATAAAAGTATCGACATTTATATTTTTCCTTGAATATCTATTTCTACCTGCAATCGGTCCCAAATGCTTCCTTACTCCAAAACCCCAAACAACACATAAAAAACCCTATCGCGATTACTGTAATAATAAAAATTAGGGTTTCGACAACATACTTTTCGATTCGACTGCAGCAACAAACAAACAAACTTCGCTTTAGAAACGCCTTCTGAAATGCAGCAACAATTACTCTTCGATTTCAAAAACTCGTCCGTTCTATCTTTTTTCAGAGGATATTTAGCTATGGCCTTTATATTTTCATCGGATATGTTATTTATATTTAATCGATACAAATACAAAAGTGTCGATACTTTTATGTCAGGTGTCGATACTTTCGAAAGGATAATTACCTATTTCTTTGAAAGTGTCGATAATTTATTACACGTACTTACGAAAGTGTCGACACTTTCAATATATCCGGTATCATTTTACCGGTTTTATCATTTTGTTACCGGTTTTATCATATTTTTACCTGTTATATCGTTGTGGATCGATATATTTTTTTAAAGTATCGACACATTATAGGCGCTATAACTGCTTCTCTTTTAAATTCACAAAGTGTCGATCCTTATATAACGTATCGACACTTTTAAATTTACCGGTTTTATCATTTTGTTACCGGTTTTATCATATTTTTACCTGGTATATCGTTTTGGATCGATATATTTTTTAAAAGTATCGACACTTTTTAGGATTTAAAACTGCTTTTAAAGTTATGTAATTTATGTTTCAATTTATTTAATAGTGTTTCATGTTTTCCACCTACAATATTAATTTAATAATTTAATTTACACAAAATTATATTTGATTGTTTTGATATTTTATAAAATATTATTTAGAATTTAAATTTAACAATATTAACCAAATATAATAATAAATATGTTTTCAACAGTGAAATAAGTATGTACACTTTTATAAAAATGATATATACTTTTTTGAAAGTTATGTAATTTATGTTTCAATTTTTTTAATAGTGTTTCATGTTTTCCACCTACAATATTAATTTAATAATTTCATTTACACAAAAAATTATTTGATTGTTTTGATATTTTATAAAATATTATTTAGATTTTAAATTTAACAATATTAACTAAAGATAATAATAAATATATTTTCACAGTGAAATAAGTATGGACACTTTTATAAAAAGGATAGATAATTTACAATATAACAGGTAAAAATATGACAAAACCAGATTCATTATGACAAAACCGGTCAAATTTACTTGATATATTAAACGTATGGACACTTTTATAAAAAGGATAGATACTTACCGATAACCAAAGTTTACCGATTACCAAATTTTTTAATAGTTTTTCATATTTTCTACCTAAAACATTATTAGTTGTCAACATAATAGGTACCGCTAAACCGAATTTATTAAATACATTTTAATGTATCCGGTAATGCTGTATATTAGCCGTATATTAACCCGCCTTTCCTGAGACAATCCCCTAGTACACTCTTGTGAATAAATATTCATTTTAACCTAAACTCTTGTGGGAAAAAATGTAAATTAATAAACATATATATGTGTGAAAATGAAAAGCAAATACGTTAAAATATTAATTCAAATAAATAAATAAAATTTATTATATAGTAAAACAATTTATATTAATAAATCAACGAAGTAAGTACCTCCGTCGTTTTGGTAGAAGAATCTCCCAAAAGTTGCAGCATAAGTGAATGGAGAGAAGTGTAGGAGTAAAGTGCAAAATGACTTTCCTACACTGTAATGTAACTGCCAAATAAGGCCTCGTTTTCTCTTATATCTCATCCGCTAAAATTGGCGGCACCAAAACCCCGAATCTCATCATCAAGGTTCCCCTTCTCATCAAACAGTCCTCTCAAGTCAAATCTCTTCTCCATTTCCCCCCATCTCTCTAGAATTTTCCATAATCTCTTTGAACGTGGATTCGGCAGAACCTTTATACCAGTCATTGTAAATAAACGACCAAACCCATGTTTTGTTTTTGTTATTTTGGTTGAGATTTAGAGGTCTCTTTTTCTATGTACAGACTACAGAGTTTGATAGAGACAAATGGGAGAGTCTGAGACTCACTTTTCTTGCTCAACTCTCGTGTCATGAAACCGATGAAGAAGCTTGTTGTTTTGAAACAAAACCACATGACTTCGACGAAAGTCTTTACTCGAATGATAAGGAGGAAATGAGTATATTGAGAGTTTGGTTCAAAGAAACTTCTACTACTTCTAGTCATTATCCGAGTAACTGGCTGCAACGTGCTCGCTCGAATGCCATTCAGTGGATCTTCAATGTGTGTATCTTCCTATTTCTTTCTTAATCTATTCTCTTATTTCTTTTTGATTAAAAGGTTGTTTTTTTATACAGACAAGAACACTCTTTGGGTTTCAAATCCATACGGCATATCCGTCTGTAATATATTTCGATCGAAGAAGCCCATTGATGTAAGCTTTTATTTTTTATTGTTTAAGCAATTGTCTGATGAAAAGTTTCTTGCTTTTTTTGAGTAACAATGTGTTTTTTGTGTTGATTAGGATGGGAAATTGTGGGCTATCCGATTATTGTCGGTGGCATGTTTATCAATAGCAGCAAAAATGGAAGAGTGCAGAGTACCTGTTTTATCAGAATTCCCACACAAGGTTACCAGTTTGATAATAGAACGATTCAAAGAATGGAGTTATTGCTACATACTACTTTGGAATGGAAACTCAGTTCTGTAACGCCTTTCGCTTATTTATCTTACTTGGTCAATAAATTTCATGGTGAATCTATCAGACCCGAAGGATTAGTTTCGAAAGCTCTGCAGCACATTGTGGTTATAATAAAAGGTAATTCGAACCTCTAGCTCTGCATGTCATTTTGAACTCATCTTTGTGTTCTTATGAATAAGGATTGATCTTTCCGATCCAGAAATCAACTCGGTAGAGCATCAATCATCGATTATTGCAGCGGCCGCTTCATGTGACGAAAGAATAACAAGGAAAGCAATGGAGCTGAAGATGGATTTCATTTCATTATGGGGATCCACAGAAACTGTGAGCTATTTTCTTGTTTTCATATTTTGTAAAACTTTGAACTCTATGGTGAATGTTGCATTGGATATTTGATGCAGGAACATGTATTTTTCTGCTATAATATGATGCGGGAAATAGAGATGAGGAAATCCAAGACACCAAAATCTGAAATTTCGTATAATTATTCTTCACTATGTGATGCTACTGAGAACTCTTCTGCTACCACTAGGAGAAAACTTACATTTAAAGAGTCTGATCAATGAAACTCTATCGGCCATCTTTTTTACTGATGATAAGATTGTTTTATCGATCGGATTCTTTTGGTTCAAGAAAAGGAAGAAAATTTGATCCGTGGCTCTGTTTTTTCTTTTGGCTTTTAGGAGCATTATGCGTAACCAATCAATTTTAATGGATGTTCACATTTAGCCCAAAGAAACAGAAAAGTCTTGTATTTTTTTGTGTACTGCGTATATATAACGGCCATGTATTATAAAAAAATTAAAAGGTAAACTATGCGAATAGGCCTTTTGTTTTCGGTATGATCGACTTTGATCATCACTTTAAAAGTTAAGGGTAGATGGTTCCTAATTCTATCGATCCGTTTGATTATAGTTCCTAATGTTATTGATTTTAGTCTCTCGACCTTTTACTTCCAATAATCCTTTAACAGATGTATTACGTGTCATTAATTTTTTTTATAAAAAAAAACCACTTCTTTTTCTTCAACAAAAACTCGGTAACCCTCCTTAATTCCTTCGTTAACCATTCTTATATATATTTTTATATCATATAAACAAAAACACATGAAAATAAAAAAGAAAACAACATTAACTTTTAATTTGTTTCAAATATAACCAAACAACCAAAAGACGAACAAAATAAACAAATGAGCTTTAAAATATAACCCTGCTAAAATTTGGGTGAAAAAAACATAAACGAAAGTTACAAAGGCAAAAGGGAAATGACTGACGGACATTCCCAAGGGAGAAGAAAAAGAACGAATGATGGGTATTTAAAAGGAAAATGACTTACCCACTGATATAATTAATTTACCTCCCAAACCTCAAATAATGGAATCATAATCACCAACCATACATGACAAATAAATTATAAAAACCAAAAAAAAGGACTACTCGAAAGAAGAAAAGAGAGTGAAAAAGAAAGATTTGAAAACAACTTATTCACATTCTTATGTCAAAACAGAAGCAACGGTAATGGCAGGCCAGCAAGAGCAGTTGCACCAATGAAAAGGCTGTTGATGGAGGCCGCAGAGGGTGGAGAAGGCCTTGCACAGCCGCAGGCTCGGAAGCTGGAGCAACTTCACCTGATGGGGTAAGAGTAGGAGAGGAAGAGATTAGTGAATGATAAGATGAAGAAGTTGTCAGAGATGGCGATGGTCGATGGGAATGTTGAAGCTGGAGATGGAGTTGGAGATGGGGTCGGGTTGGTGTTGGAGATGGTGTTAGAGTTTATGTTGGTGTCGGTATCGGTATCGGGGTAGCTGCTGACGGTGGCGGAGATGTTGGTGCTTAAGCCATGCAAGAGGTGGCCAAAAGTTACATTAAACATGATGCAACTCATCTTGGCTAAACAAGAGTGTTTTGTTTAAAGGGTAAACAATATTAATGTTGTTAACGGAAAAGAATAAGAAGAAAATGTTGCGCTCAAAACAATTTTTGAGATTTTTTTTGGTTTGAGGTTAGGATTTTCAGAGTTACGCTCAAAAGAATATTGTAACTTCTTTGTTAACGGTTGAAGACTAAAATCGAACGAATCGATAATGTTAGAGATCATTTATGTTTAAATTTGTGACCAAAGTCGGTCAGACCAAAAACAAATGAAATTATTCGCATAGTTTACCCAAAATTAAATAATATAACTTCATGTAAAATAAAATTAAATGTTTATAGTTTTAACATTTTTATAAATTAAAAAACTATCTATTTTATAACATAAATGCTAGTTATTATAATTATGAAATATTTTTTTTATTAAACTAAGGTGATTAGAGTAGTATTTATTTTAAATATTCTCAATCATTTAACAATAAAATGCTCAATCACTCTACTACATTCGTTGATACTCAAACCCATGATCTTTGGAATAACGACGATTTTTTTAACCAATGAGATAAGTTGTTTTATATGATGTAAGATGATTGTTAATATAAAAGATGTGAGATCAAAAGAATTTAATACAATATCTATTTTCTTTCCTCATTTGTTATTTTAAAAATAATTTTTGTTTCATTCATTAGTTCTAATATACCGTTAATATTAATTGCTTTGAATTTTTTTATCGTTATCTCAATTATTTAAGTTGATATGACACTTTTATAATTTAAATGATAAAAGTAAAAAATCCAAAAAAATCATAAAAATCTAAAAATCTTTAAAATATAAAAATGTGTATAAAATCTATAAAATATAAAATTAACAATATATATAACTAGTAAATAATTTGAAATATATACAAATTATAATTCTCAAAAACGTTTTTAAAAGTTTCTGAATAATATTTTAATTTTTTTTAAAATAATATGACTTTTTAAATAGATTATATTGATTTTTTTAAAAGTTTCTAATTTATTTATTATACATGAGAAACATTTTATAACAGTGCCATCTCAATTTAAATGGTTGAAATATTAATATAATTTCAAAATTGATACATGCACCACAAGGCTCGTATCAAAGGAAGATGAGTTATCTCTTTCAATAGATCCACACTATCTAGTCTTGGAAAAGAAAATCAAAACAAGAGCAGACTTGAGACGACTTTCTAAATGAGATCCAAGTGTTATTTGATTAACATGTCTTCTGGATATGCGACAGACTATCTTTTAGTTTTCCAACAGTACTTGAAATACATCAATCCGATGTTGAGAAGTTAAGATACATTTATTTTAGTAAAGATAACGCATGCAGAAATTTCTATATGTAATTAATACGTGATTTTGTAAATATTACGAATTATCAATATTTGATTGATTATTTGAAATATAATTTAATATAGCATGATACATTATCTTTTAGGATTATATTTATTATTTTATTAGGAATTAAGATAGAGTTAAAATATTATCTCTAGTTTATTATTATTTTTATTAGGAATTAGCATAGAATCTGTAGACTCTCATTTTTGTTCGAATTGTTTTATTTTATTTTATTAATATATATATTATATAGTTTGCAAATGATTTTTGAAATATATATATAATATATAGTTTTGAAAACGATTTTTGAAAATGTATATATATTATATAGTTTTTTGAAAACATTTTGATAACATATATAATATATGGTTTTTTTAATTTTTTTTTTGAAAATTATATAATATATAGTTTTGAAAACTGTTTTAATATATATATATATATATATATATAATATAGTTTTAAAATATTTTAAAATATATATATTATTTATTTATTTATTTTTATTTATCTTATTTCATTTTAATAATTTTATTTTCATTGTGGTCCAGGTCCAAAGTCCAGGTTCGGGTCAAAGCCCAACCGAGCCTGAAAGCCTGACCAAGCAAGCAGACCCGGTGGGAAGCCCAACAAGGGTCTAGGGTTTTTTACACTTAGCACTAGCGCCATAAATGAGGTTCTCAACGGGCCGTGAGGACCACGCGCTAGTCAAACTTTCAAAACTGCCGACCGAGATCCTAGGACTGAACCATCCAAGGGTTTTCGATTAACCCACAACCACACGAACCGTAAACAGCCCAGAAGATTTCGCAACCGTGGCAAAAAACCACGTGAATCCTGGAACCAAACCATTGACGGTGGGGTATAAATACCCCACCAAATCGAACCAACAAGGACATCAACGGCGAACAAAACACAACAACAATACCAGCAAAAAGCTAAAACATCGAAATACAACGGTGAACAACTATTGATCGGAGTAACACAAAAAAAATACAACAAAAAAAACATTCAAAAACCACCAAATAAATCCAACAAAAAAACCCACATCCAAAGCAACAAATAGAGTGAAAAACCAGTGCGTGGCGTCGGCTCGGGAGAAGAACGGTCGCCGGAAAAGCGAAGAGTTTTCATCTAAAAAGGTAAAACTGAAAGTTTAGGTGTAGATCTACGCTATTCAGGGCTTTTTTTTTTAATGAAATTTGGGTTTCAGTTTTGGGATCGAGGGGTTGAGGAGAGTTTTCTGGGTGATTTTGTTTTTTTTTCGGCCGCCGCGACGGGGAGGCCACTAGGCAATGGCCGGCCATCGGGGCCGGTTGGATGGGTTGATAGCTTCTCTCGTTTAGGGGAGAAGGTGTGTTTTGAGGATATGTTGAAAATGAAGTGAAATAGGGGATTTTTAGGTATTTATATACCAAGGACTACATTGTAATTAAGGGATTATTAAACCCTTTTCGTCGTCCCCAAATTTTTGAAGTGTAATTCATTTCGGTCATTATGCTCAATTTGGCCACTGAATTTTCAATTTATTCAATTCGGTCCTATTTATAATTTACATTTTTTACAATTTAACCCCTCTAACTCTTTATTTTTCCCTTGCAGCTCATTTTTAGTACCAATTTAATTCATTAATTTTAATTTGTTTCAATTTGATCCTTTAATTTATTATTATTATTATTATATTTTTTTAAAAATTATTATTATTATTATTATTTTATATTGTTTTATTTTATTATTTTTAAAATTTAACTTTTTATTTTATTTTATTTTTTTCTTGACCTTTGATTTATTTAATATTTATTATTATTATTATTATTATTATTATTATTTATCTCATTTTTTCCTTTGATTTATTTTTATTTTCTATTTTTCTATTTTTCCTTTGATTTATTATTTTTTTTTTTTATTTTTATGTTTTTGTTTTATTTTTTTTATTTTTCCCCTTTGATTTATTTAACATTTATTTATTATTTCTTGCCTAACATTTTCGACATTTTTAGAGAAATTCCAACTAATTTGAATCAGGTTTTTTAAATTTTAATTTTAATTTTCACTATAAGACAACCAACAAATTAATTGGTACCGAAAGGGCAGAACAAGGGTGCTAATCCTTCCTTGACTGTAACCGACTCCCAAACCCGACATATTTATGGTAAAACGAAGATCATGTAAGATGGTGTCCGATCAACCTAAAATTGTTTTTAAATGATCGGTGGTGACTCTATCACATTTTTCAAGTCAAAGTTCAATTTCAGGCCCACCAGAAAGACGGCCGCAATAAAATCAAATTATTATCTTTAGTTTATTATTATTTTATTCAGTAGTTACTTAGATTCATATAACTTATTACCCTATATAAAGAGGTTTTATTCACCATTCTAAACCAAATTTCTTTGATTAATAATACAACGAGTGTCACACCCATAGTTTTAATCTATTTTTTTTAAATATAACTTATTAATTTATTAAGAATTTAAATGGATAAATTTGTTAGATTACAAAGGTTTCAGGATAATTTTTTAATATCATGAAGTTCAGGGGATTCAACCTACAATTTACCCGTCCTTGTTCTACAGAAAAAAGGAAAATGAATAGAATCATAAGGTTGAAGTGGTTTGAACCCAGGACCTAGAGAATGACCAACCATGCCCCTGCCACTAGACTAGGTTACTATTACTAATAAGAAATTAATATTTATTTTGTTTCACCGAGTTTTGTTAGATATTAAACACCCACAACCATTTTTTTCATCTAAAAAACTAACACAATAACTTCAAATCTTCACAAAATAGCCCAACCATGCCCATCTTATACCAATTAGCGTCGACCGCCAATATCCAGCTAGTAGTGGCTTGACGACCGCCACCATCAATAACTCTATCTTCACCTCGTGACTCTAACCCAGTCAACCAGTCATTCAAACACGTCATCGTTCATCATAAAAATATGAAAGACCGTTCGAAAATGTTGTTCGAACTCCTCAGCTCCGATCTCGGGCATTTACCTTCGATGAGCTTCACCACCGCCACCAAGAGAGGTCTGAACAAAGTCCAGTACTCCTTTTATCATGCATTTTCACTGTTAGCTGTAAATCAACATTGGAAACTTTGATAAAAACCAATCGATTGTCTCTTTATTTCGTCGTTTTCGGTCGATTTAGACGTTGATTGATCTCACTGTCCCGACTGTTGTGATCCCCATCACTTTCTGACCAAAACCCAACCCGTGGATCACCTTACCGCCACTATTTTCCCCGTTGTTGGCTTTGTGACTGATTGAGAAGTGACCAGTCACCCGAAACTGACCCTACTGCCACCGCACGCGCAACGACATTCTGCCCCTACGCGTGGTGCTTCTCGGTCGTTTGAATCTTCTGAAAGTTGAGTCAACTGATTCGAACGAGTTAACTCAAACCGGTCCAAGTCAATCTAAACCGATCAAACTATTGACTTTGACTAAATCGTTGACTTTGACCCATACCATTGACTTTGTCCAAAAAATTAAATTTTTCAAAAAGTCATATTTTATGTTTATCGACGTCTTGATCTTGAATCAAAAGTCCAATTTGCCAAATTCAAAATTGGTAAGATGTTTTTATGCATTTTATCTTCCGTTCGATACGTTTTTCCTAGTTAAATTTTGTTTCTAACATAATTTATTTTGCCACGTATCCGAGATATTGTGGGACATTGAATTCAATTTCGAGAATGATTGAATGTCATTTAATTGTTCGACCGATGTGGCTTAGAAACTGAGGTATTACATTACTACTTTTTGCATACTTTGTGGAACATGTTGATATTGGTTATTGTATGAATGAATATTAATGGTCAATCATGTACATTTATTTATTGTTGGGCTCAAGCAAAATATAATATGATGTTAATAAAATGTATAAAACAAGGGTAGATCGCATAAAAAAATAAAAGACTGATAAGAAATAATTCTAAGTTAAAGTGATTATTTGGTAAAACAATTAGCTTAGAATCCTTAAATTGTAATTATTTTTGTTAAGGTTAAATGTCGAAAATACATGGATAAAGGATTACAAAAATACCCCCATAATGTAAAAAGATAAAGATTGTCCCTAAAATTAGAAATAGCCCTAAAAGCTATACCTGACCCAATGAAAATATGGCCTCACCTTTTAAAGGCTTATGTTGCCTAGAAAATCATGATAACTATTTTTAACCTTCGTGATGGCAAACGACTTATAATTTTTTATTTTGAAATAATCACCCGATAATTAAATAATTAGAATAATTCATATGACTGAATCAAAGAAATAAAAAAAATTAGTTGACCCTATTCCCATATGTAATGGGGTAAGGGGGAGGTAGGGTAGTAGGCTGCCCCCAACGCCAGGTTGATAGCAGCTTCCGTGGAAAACCTCCAACAGTCAGAATTATGAATTGCCCACCGTGGGACTCGATTCCACGACCATAAGGTTAAGAGCCTTATTCTCTACCAACTGAGATGGACAGGCAATTCATATGACTGAATCAAAGAGAATGACCAAAATACCCTTGAGTATTAAAATGACCAAAATGCCTTTGAACCCTATAAAGGACAAAATACCTTAAATTCCAAGTTGACCGAAATAAACTTGAGCGCTGAAATAACCTAATTATCCTCACAAACTATATTAAGTGAAATGCTTGTGGACGAGTTCTGTAAGTACCAACGAAGCTTTATGTTGTAACGAAACCAAGGGTTTTGGAGTACAACCTAAGTGTACCGATCACCTTTGTTATTATTACAATTTTGGGAAGGATTACCGTCTGAGTATATGTTTGTCTCCTCGAGTTACGTTCGATGATGGGTTGTGAAGGTGATCTGTTCAAGTTTACTGTATAGTCAGTAGCAAGAAATAAATGTTCATGAAGTGTTTCTGTTGAATAATCGATATATACCACATTGCTGAAGTCTAAATTATTGATGGAATTTAAAGGCCAAATAAATCATCAGAAATCTAGAATACTATAATTCATCGTTTTACCCTTGTTAAACCAAATTACCAAGTTCTTTCTCGATTGTGAAAAGATTAAAATGCCCTGATGACCTATATAATGGAATGATTCTGATTATATATGAATATGAAATAATTCTGGTGTAAGGTTCCTTATTACTTTTTTGGTGCACCTGAAATCATAAATGGTTCAAAAATATCAACTTCTAAATTTCTGATTAGATCTATCGGTAATCGAACCCTTTTAATAGAGATCATATTTTTGAAATCTAATCAAATTACAGAAGTTTTTGTTTTATTTCCTGATAATCACAAGTGCCTCTGGAAAATATATGAATCCTCTAGTGTGTTCCTTATGCACATAAATATTTTTCCTCCGATTTAAAAAAGAAGCATGACTCTGATATTTAAAACAAATCATTGTTTCTAATCTCTGGTTTCTGATACTGGATACTTCTAACTCTTGATTCTGATATTAATGGTTATTAGTTACTATTTGTATGATTTGATTTTTATTGGGTACTTTCTGGATAGGATTCTGGAGTTTTGAGGTTCAACTCTAATCAAGCTGGTAATTCCTTACGTATGTATGGATGCAGTTATGATGAACTGCACAATGGAGTGTTTGGTTGGAGGGTAACTCTATGTTTTAAAAATGAAAACTATATTGTCACTCTTATACTATGACTCTGATATCTAAAATAAATACCTGATCTGTGATATTTATTTTCTGATATAAAATATATATGGCTCATGATATTTGATATTACTGGTACTGTATGAAACTATTTTACATGGATACTATATGGGTAAGACCTTAGAGTTTTGAGGTTCAATTATGATCAAGTTGGTAATTCTTTTTTGTTTTGATCATTGATATAGGGTAAGTCTTGATGAATGCAGTTCTGGGGAACTGCATATGGTGTACATGTGAATGATATTACTGTCTTTTAAAAAGTTGTTTTACTGAAATAAATTACTATTTTTGGTTTTATTGGAACACACTAAACTTCCTAACTCCATCTTTTGAATCTGTCTCTCTGAACGTTCCCTCTAATATGTAAGCTTCCTGACTGTTACCTGGAGAATTAATTAGTAAGACTTCAACTCTTTACTATGACCTATATATGCTTGGAAATAGCATGTTTCCGTATATCAACTTGTTCTTTAGCTTCATTTGGTAGTTTTGTATTAATGAGCTTCCCAAATCTCACTCTGTTACTCACCACTTCAAGTTAAATAATCGTTCCTGTGCAGTATTAACATCGGTGTGGGAGACTTTCGGTGTTGCTTGTAGAGTATGATATAGTTGTAGTTAGGGGGCATGTAGGTCTCATTTTGTATGTATATCGGAGTCTGTAACTTGTTTTAAAATTGTGTATGATTGGATTTTGAATTTAATTTGTAAATATTTTTGGAACTAATACACTATATTTATAAATTATTTTATGATTTGAAATGATTTAACAAAAAATTTAATTTCTCGATTTTTATTGTGGGTCGCTCTGGTGGTGGCCCTAATGTAACACCTCAGATCAGATCAAGCCACATGTATCAGTTTGTGGTGTTATATTTAGTGGTATTAGAGCCATGTTGAGTAGAGTCTTTTGGGTAGATCGGTCGATCGACTGTAATAGGATGTCTGATCAGTACATGCCCTAGATTATGACTGTACTCTTCTAAGCTGCAACTCCGATGACTAGTCCTTGTAATAAGTACACCTAAGTATTATGTCCATTATGATTCAACCTGTGTAGAAAAATAATATGTCAGCATTCATCCTAATATTGGAAATCACTCCGCGAGTAACGCATGAGTTACTTTATCGAAACTCTAACCCAAATCCCGACCTAAATTTGAGTTTTATTGCCCTTGACGTTCTATGATGATAAACTCATAACCAAACCATATATGTGGTGTTTCGAGATTAAAAATTGTTACCCAAGAGGATTGAAGAGCAAGGTACTTATCCAAGCTTTGACAAGGTGACTTCCCCTAAGTTCTGATTTGATGAACTAAGTTGGAAAATTTCTTGAATAATTATTTTTCAATTTTATAAGCTTGGAACTCGATAAGTAATCAACCTTTTACCTCAATTATTTGATTAATATGAGATTAAATGATAATGTTCGTGCACTTGGTAAAAGTGTAAATCTCAAGGTGATTTTGTTATGTCTAAAAGAAAACAGTTATGCCTAAATGATGCACTAGAGGTAAGCAAGTTTCTTATATCCAAAACTCTATGTACTTTGGATGCGTAAGATGATAAGATTAATTGTTTACTAACTTAAGTCGATTCTAAACCCTAAAAGCAATATGGGTATTTTATATGTGTTTGCGAATAGAATTTGTTTAGATTTTAAATTTGGGATATGAGAGAGTTCTTCAGAACGGGTGTATCTCAATGGTAAAAGTTCAGTGGAGTACTTGTAGATGATCCTGGAAAGCTACCTGAAAGACATAGAGTTCAATAAAGGATCAATTTCCACATTTGGTTGATTCCGATAAATTTCGAGGACAATTTTTTAATGAGGGAAGAATTGTCACACCTTTAGTTTTAATCTGTTTGGTTTAAATTTAACTTATTAATTTATTGAGAATTTAAAGGAATAAAATTTTTTAGATTCTAAAGGTTTCAGGATAATTTTTGAATATCCAAGAAGTTCATGGGATTTGACCTAGAATTCACTTGTCTTTGTTCTGCATAAAAAAATGAATAGAATCGTAAGGTTGGAATGGTTAGAACCTGGGACCCAAAGAATGACCAATAATTTTTTCAGATAAAAAACTAACCCAATAACTTCAAATATTTACAAAATAGCCCATTCATACCCATCCATTCATACCCAATAACTCATTCTTCACCCCGCGATTCTAACCCTGTCAACCAGCCACTCAAATATGTCATCTTTCATCGTAAAAATATGAAAGATCATTTGAAAATGTTGTTTGAACTCCTCAGCTTCGATCTCAGGCATCTCCCGTTGGTGAACGTCACCACTATCACCAAGAGAAGTACCACTCCAGTTCGACCAAAGTTTAGTACTCATCTCATCAAGCACCATCACCGTTAGTCGTGAATCAGCTTTGAAGCTTCGACAAAAACCCATCGTTCGTCACTTTATGTTATTATTTCGTCTGATTTAGGTATCGGTTGGTCTCATTGCCCTGACCGTTGTGATCCCCATCACCGTCCAACCAAAATCTAACCAGTGGGTCATATCACCACCACTATTTTCCCCATCATCAGTATTATGATTGATTGAGTAGTGATCGACTGCCCGAAACTAACCCTACCATCGTCGTACGCGTCGTTACGCTCCGCCCCTATATGTGGTGCTTCTCGGCCGGTCAAATCTCCTGGAAGCTAAGTTAACGAGTCAACTCAAACCGAGTCGATCGAGTTAACTCAAATAGATCTGAGTTAACTCAAACTGGTCAGAGTCAACCTGACTTTGACCAAGACCGTTGACTTTGACCAAAAAATTAAACTTTTTGAAAAGTTATATTTTATGTTTTTTGACGTTTTAAGCCCAAATTCGAAGTCTGTTTCACAAAATTCAAACCTGGTAAGCTATTTTTATGCAATCCTACATTTCGATATGTTTTTCCTGGTTAAAGTTCATTTCTGACGTAATTTATTTTTCCACGTATCTGAGATATTATGAGACATTGAATTCAAGTTTGAGAACGATTGAATGACATTTAATTGGTTGACCGATGTGGCTTAGAAACTGAGGTATTACATTACTACTTTTTGCATGCTTTATGGAAAAGGTTGATATTGGTTATTGCATGAATGAATGTTAATGGTCAATCGTGTACAGTTAATTATTGTTAGGTTCAAACAAAATACAATATGATGTTAGCAAATTGTATAAGACTCGGGTAACTCACATAAAAATTAAAAGATTGATAAGAAATAATTCTAAGTTAAATTGATTATTTGGTAAAACAATTAGCTTAGAATCCTTAAATTTGATTATTTTTGTTAAGGGTTAAATGTCAAAAATACATGGATAAGGGATTACGAAAATACCCCTAGGACATAAAAAGATAAGGATTATCTCTGGAATTGGAAATAGCCCTGAAAGTTATACTTGACCCGATAAAACTATTGTCTCACCTTTTAAAGGCTTATTTTGCCTAGAAAGTCAAGATAACTAATTTTAACCTTCGTGATGGAAAATGACTTGAATTTTTTTATTTTGAAATGAGCACCTGATAACTAAATTACTTGAATGATGCATACGACTGAATCAAAGAGAATGACCAAAATACCCTTGAGTATTGAAATGACTAAAATACCTTTAAACCCTACAAGGGACAAAATACCTTGAACTCCAAGTTGATCGAAATAACCTCGAGCGTTGAAATAACTTAATTGCCCTCACGAACTATATTAAGTAAAATTTCGTGGACGAGTTATGTAAGTATCAGCGAAGCATTATGTTGTAACGACACTAAAGGTTTTGGAGTACAACCTAAGTGAGTTGGTCACCTTTGTTACTATTACAATTTTTGGAAGGATTACCTTTTAAGTATATGTTTGTCTTCTCAAGTTACGTTAAACAATGGGTTGTGAATGTGATATGTTCAAGTTTACTATGCAGTTGGTAGCAAGAAATAAATGTTCATGAAGTGTTTCTGTCCAAATTGTTGATGGAATTTGAAAGCAAATAAATCATCATAAATATGGAATACCATAATTCGTCATATTATCCTTGTTAGACCAAATTACCAAGTTCTTTCCCGATTGTGAAATAACTAAAATACCCTAATGGCCTATATAATGGAATCATTTTGGTTATATTTGAATCTGAAATAATTCAGATGTAAGGTTCCTTATTACCTTTTTGTGCACCTGAAATCATAAATGGTTCAAAAGTATAAACTTCTAAATGTCTGATTAGATCTGTTGGTAATCAAACCCTTTTAATAGAGATCTCGTTTCTAAAATCTAATCAAATTGTAAAAAAAATTATTTCATTTCCTGATAATCACAATGTGCCTTTGGAAAAATATCTGAATCCTTTAGTGTGTTCCTTATGCACATAAATATTTTTCTCCAATTTAAAAAAGAAGAAGAAACATGACTATGATATTTAAAACAAAACATTGTTTATAATCTCTGGTTTATGATACTAGATACATCTAACTCTTGATTATGATACTAATGGTTACTGGTTACTATCTGTATGAGTTGATTTTTATTGGGGGTACTTTATGGATAGGATTCTGGAGTTTTGAGGTTCAACTCTAAATAAGCTGGTAATTCGTTACATCTGTATAGATGAAGTTATGGGGAACTGCACAATGAAGTGTTTAGTTAGAGGGTAACTTTGTGTTTTAAAAATGAAAACTATATTGTCACTCTTATACTATGATTATGCTATCTGAAATAAATACCCGATCTCTGATCTTTGTTTTCTGATATAAAATTTATCTAGCTCCCGATATATGATATTACTAGTACTGTCTAAAACTGTTTTACTTGGATACTATATAGGTAGAACCCTAGAGTTCTGATCAAGATGATAATTCCTTTATATTATGATAATTTTTTATTGGACTCCTATACCCATTTAGGTATTTATGAATGCAGTTCTGGGGAGCTGCATATGGTGTACGAGTGGAGAGTATTACTATGTTTTACTAAAATAAACTACTATTTCTAGTTTCTTAGAACACACTAGACTTCTCAACTCTATCTTCTGAATCTGTCTCTCTAAACATTCCCTCTTATTTGTAAGCTTCCTGATTGTTACCTAAAGAATTAATTAGTGAGACCTCAACTTTTTACTCTGACTTGTATATACCTGGATAACTAAGGAAATATCGTGCTTCCATATATTGACTTTTCCTTTAGCTTCGTCTGATAGTTTTGTATTATTGAGCTTCCTAAAGCCCACTTTGTTACTCACCATTTCAGGTTAAAGAATCGTTCCTGTGCAATATCGACATCAGTGTGGGAGTTCTTTCAGTGTTTCTTGTGGAGTACGATACAGTTGTAATTAGGGGACATGTAGGTCTCATTTTGTATGTATATCGGAATTCGTAACTTGTTTTGAAATTGTGTATGATTGGATTTTGAATTTAATTTCTAAATGTTTTCCAAACTAATACAATATATTTATAAATTGTTTTATGATTTGAAATGATTTAACAAAGAAATTATTTTCTGGATTTTTATCGTGGGTCTCTTCAATGACCTTAATATAACACCTCATATCGGATGGGGTCACCCGTATTGATACATGTACTGGGAACTGCTTTTCATCTTCATAAGCTATGTTTTCCCTTTTTTTTTAATTTGGGGAATTTTCTAATATATTTATGTACTACTTGATTGCTTTGATCTGGATTGGTTATCTGATTTTCATCCAAAATGTTTTTTTTCCTTATTGGGTTTAATGATTAATAAATTTTTTTTAAAAATTTATTTGAAGAGCAATTTTCCACCATTTCCTATTTGAAGAACTTAAACATTTTGAATTAAACCTAGATTGTAAGGGAATATAGCAACATTATTGTATTTCTAATGTTTTATTTTTCCAGATTTTGTAATAACAAGAAATATTGTAAAGAATAGTCATTTTCGTATTAATTCCGAACTTATAACGTTAAAGGCGGAGATTAACCCAACAATCTGAATTCACGTTATCCCCGCCGTTAAACATAACTGTCGAAACCTTCTCTCTCGTTGTCAATTTTTGTTACGGGACTCACCTCCTCGTAACGATGTTTAACGTCGCGTCCCTCCTGGTAGCAGCGGAACTCCTCGGGGTGACGGAGACCAAAGGTGACGGCGACAGTAACTTGAAGCAGATGACCGAGAATTACTTCCATCGATTCATTGCCGTCAACGGAGAGTACGCGGCGATTGTTTTCAGGTCTTGCCTGACGTTGCTCCCGGAGGCGGAAACAAAGTCGTTTCTCTTTAGTAGATGCGTCGAGGCTATGGATTTAGCGGAGGATGGGAACGGCTTCGACGGTTGCTTTGAGGATGTTATTTCTTTGCGCGCCGAGGATTTCAGAATCCTTACCGAGTCTATGCACCAACGATTTGAGTACCACGATTTGCTTTATGGAATCGTTGATTTTTATCTCGAGGTAAGAACACTGCTACTACTGGTTTTAATTATGTTAGATCATAGTTTTTCCTTAACTAATAACATGATTAGTTTAATATTAATACATTAGTATTGATTTATACTAATATAAAAACTTAGGTTAATTAATTTCCTCTCATGAATAAAGTGATCATAGTTTAATTTAAAATATATAAATTAATAAATCATATATAATACATATTTTTTATATATTTTGAAAGAGTATTATAATTTCCCATTTAATTATCATATATCTAGTATTTATGATAGGGTTTAAAAGGCTAGAAAAAAATCATATATGAACTTCTTTAATAGGTGTATTTAGAATTTTTTTTGAACAAAGGTGTATTTAGAAACTTAGCTGTAGTGTGTGGTTCATTTAATATTTAAGATTGTGTAGGTTGGACCAGCTATTTTGTTTGGTCTCTATCTATTAATTTTAGTAATCCTTAGATTTTGATTAATTTTAATATTTAATTTTCCTTATTAATTTCAAACTTAAAATCATCACAATTTTATTATTATTATTATTTCGACAGAAAACCACTAGTTTGATTAAAAATAGAAAAAATCTAGAATTACAATGAAGATTTACAAGTATAAGTAAACGTAAACAAAATTATAATTAGGATATTTTCCTATAATCATTGACACAAAAACTAGCCACTTAGATCACACAAGGACCAAAAAAGTAAAAGGTTAAAAAACCTAACCAAAAAAGCTCGAACAAAATAAAGATACAAACAAATCTGAGTGCATCATCAAACGAACCAAAAAAGAGGATGAAGTTACTAAAAGCCACCGACAAATCACAAATCAGAGTAAAAAACCGTAAAAAAACTATCCACGAATGTAAAACGCATATCCAAAGGTCCAAAGTAGAGAATATCATCATGATAACAAATAAGCATTATCTTGATCAGTCGTGGCGATGTCAAATCCAACCAAAAGAAAAAAGATAAACGAAAACAACGACAAAAAACTGTAAGTTACCAAAAGGAAAAGAAAAAACGTGTCACAAAAGACATAGATAAATGTGACATAAAGGCAAAGAAACATATCACAAAGACATAATTATTCTTATTAAAAAAACTAAAAATAAGAAAAAGAGAAAAATATAACCGGTGGGCGACAACCAACATCAAAACTGGTGCACCACCGGTTAAATAAAATTAAAGAAGAAAAAAGTTAAATTGATCAAAAAAATTGACACAAATTGTAAAGAAGAAAAGAAAAAGGAAGAGAGAAGAGGAAGAAGAAAGCGGCTAGGGTTTTTAAATGGAATTTATAATTTGTTAAACTTAAATCACAAATATATTATTATTTTATTAGGTATTTCAATCTTAATCATATTAGAGTTTAAATTTTTACTATATTATAATAAGAATTGTGTCAACCAACAATCAAATTAAAGTTATCACATTAATCATTTAATTGACTTATTTTTAATAATTAAGCTTGTATATCAAATAAATATCTCTAATTGTATCAAAAATTCATGTGAGCCCTTGATTTGAATTATAAATAAAACGAGTACTTACATAAAAAATCATTATTAAATAAGTCATTATTTTGAAAAGTCATGAATTCTAAGAAATCTTATTTAAAAAATCATAATTAAATAGTTATTAATTTCTCAATGTTTAAGAACTTGTTTGATTACTATTTTTCAAACATTGAGTTACATAATTCGAATTAAGGGCTCGCTTGATTTTCTAGGGTACAATTAAAGGAGCCTATTTCATACATAAATGTCTAGGAAACAAGCTCTTGCCTCAACTCCTCTTACATGCAGTGCAAAACCCTCGAATGCCATTGCGTTTCGTGGTCCGAGCCATGTTGGTGGAACAACTCAATACCCGCCGCACCATTTTCTCAGCCGCCAATCACCATTTATCGCGTAGCCATCGCCCTAGAACCAGCAACAGCAACGACGACGTTGACGACAACATCACGGTCGGTGAAATCCTCGAACGCGACGCCACCAAGCGGGAAACGGCTCAACTCAAGGCAGCAATGGACGCCACGAGTTCCAGGATCCAAACCCTGGAAAAACAGTTGCTTTGCATGAAAAAGATATTGCAGGAGTCTGATGAGAATGTTATTGAAGGAACCGGTGGTGGGTCTAGAGATGTGATGGAATCGGGCCGGTCAGCTAGTTTCCGTTACGTTTCAGGGAATAAGATTGAAAGATCATACCTTGGAGCTCCTTCCTCGGCTAGTTTCCGGTTCATTGGCGGTCCAAAAGAAAGAGCACTGGGATCTTCCACACCAGAGATTAGAGATTTTGATTTGGTATAAATAGTGTTTGAATCTTACATTGTGGATGTTTTTATCTATGCAACCATAGTCATAATTCATGTATCACCTATTATTTTTGCTATCACTATTAAAATTAATAAAGTTCCTTGTCAGAAAATTTAATCATTTTCAACTAGTATTTTCAAACTATGATGTCAAACCTAATTCAAATTCGGTTACATAAACATTCATCCTTGACCTCAATGTGAAAGATCTGAATAGTAACATATATTGCACCACTTTTTAGATACAATTATTATTTTCTTCAGTTTTCAATGTTTAGTGTTTGGTATATAGAGCCCCCATTTTTCACATCTTTTAGATAAAGTTTACAAAATAATTATTAAAAATTGATTTTTTTATTATTAAAATTTTAAAATATAAACAAATAAACATTATATTTTTATTTTTGTTTTAAAATGAGAACTGCATTATTAGTCTCAAATGTTATTAAGTGAAAAATATAATATATTAAATTAATAAATAATATCATATTTGACCCCTCAATTGTAACTAAATTTTTTTTCTTTTAAAATTTTTAAATAATAATTAAAAATAAGAAAAAAATTTAAATCCATTTGAGAATTTATAATTTAATTTTAAAAATTAAAAATATTTTAAAATTATAATTTTTTATTTTTTTATAAATTATAAAATTTTAATAAAATCCTTCATATTTTTTAATTACACTTTCACCCACCTTCTAACCTACAATAAAATTTAATGATCAATATTTTGTATTTTTGTTACCATAATAAATATAGTATTGTCTTATTTAAAGCTTTTACGAAATATATAGCTACTTTAAAGCATATATTTTATTTAATCTCATTACTCTCCTTAAAAATTTAAGTTATTAAATTGATTATAATAATTACGTAATAATGAAACGTAGATGATAAATAGATATTAATAATTTATCCCTGGCGTCGGGAGTTTGGAGTCTGCACAATTATGACCGTGACGTGGGATTTTGGACCTCATCCACTCTCCATTGCCCACCTGTCCACCACTCTCACGTCTTAAAAAGAAGAATAAATTCCCTACTTGGTCATCTACCTATTACTTTTTTTTATTTAGGTCATTTAACATATCTTTTTAAAAAAAAAATTACACATGACGTTACGTTTTGTTATGTTTTAATCATTTATCGTTAAAAAATTAACGTTGATAGTGAATTAAATTTTTTATTGTTATATTTTAATGTTGACATGTCATTATCTTATGATGATATGTCAACATCACCCTTAAATTTTTAACAATTGATGACCAAAATAGAAGTAAAACATAAGGTTGATTTTGAAAAAACTAGTTAGGTGACCAAAACAGAAACTATGAAATAGATAGATGACCAAATAGGACTTTTACCCGAAAAAAGAAATGGGAAAATTACACGTGGAATAAAAATAATAGAGTCCCAGCCATTCCACGTCCTTTCTTCATTTTATAAAACATGGAATCAAAATGAATTTGGATTTTTAATCACGTCTTTTGCCGTCAACTCCTCCTGTTTGGCTGTTTCAACTCACAACCATTGTTTTTTTAATTATTAAAAAATTATAATCAAGATGGTTGTGCTCAAGGCTCTACGGCCGGCGATTTGTTGTTCTTCTTCCATTTTCGATGGTGGGCCTTTGGAACCGGTGGATAAGGCTAGCTTCGTGATGTTTCCGTTCCCGGCGTCGTCGCTTTCTATGAGGTTGAGGAGAGGCAACAATGCTAAGCTGAGCTTGGTTCAGGCGACGGAGGAATCGTCCATGCCGATTGCGACTGATCCCGCTGCTGCTATTTCTGGTACTATTGTTTAAAAAAAGAAAAATTCATGGGTCATGTGTTTGATTTTATTTTTATTGTCAAGAATTTGGTTCAGGATTTTTATTCCATTTTAAAGAAAATTAAAGATATATATTTGATTTTTTCACTATTTATTTATAAAAGGGACAAATCTTATATATAGAAAAGAATTTTTATACTAGGAGTATCTGTAATAGAAATTTCGTGGAATGATGGAAGAGATAATTAGATTGATTTTCAAAGTTATTTTCAGCTTAATTGGGTTTTGCAGACTTGCAAGCATTAACATTTATGACTCTTCTGTAAATTAGTTATTGCCAAATAAAATTGTTTGGCCAATTTTGTGAAATGGTAGATATTCCAGATTGAAATGGAGATTAGAAGAACAACCACAACACTTCATCTGAAAGACAAATAATATTTTTCAAAAAAGGGAAGTAATCGGTTACATAAACCCTTTGATTATACATTTTAGCTTGGGCTCCTGTTTTTCTGATGACAGTACCGAATAAATCAACTGGATACATCTGAATCCTTAAGCGTCAGCCTTTCAGATCTGAATATTTATAATTTTACACTATCTCTATATGCTGATCATTTTAGTAATGAATTCCTCATTTTGGGAAACATTGTTCTATAATATTCGTATGAACACTTTGGCCATTCCATGGAATTACTGGCAATGATGACGGCGCAAACTCATGAATTCTTTAGTATATGGTTTCTTTCCAATTGTATCCACTATCCACTTTGGGTTTTCTGATTTCAAACGTCTAACTAGGTGAAAATCCCCACCAGATAGCAACAAACGGCAAGGCAACAAACATTGTATGGCACAAAAGTTCGATTGGAAAACTTAATCGGCAAGAGTTACTTCAGCAAAAGGGTTGTGTCATATGGATTACAGGTCTCAGTGGCTCAGGTTCGTTTAACTTTGAATGGTGAAATTTTTGCTAATCTTTTTATTTCCATTATTTTATATATTGTTTTCTGTTGTGCCTGCGTATATAAGATGGCTGCTTGATTATGACTAGCTTTAATAGTCTTTTGTATGTGCTAAAACAACAAAAACTGAAAGATTGGTCTTTTACCTCTGGACGAATCTGTAAATTCAAAATAAATAAAAGAACGTTTTCTTTGTTAGTTTCTGCTTGCTAAACTGAAAAGTGTGTTCCAACGTCTTAACTTTTGCACTTTGTGTTTCTCCCTCTCCCTCTCCCCCCCTCTCTTACTATGGTCTATGAATTAGGAAAGAGCACTCTGGCATGTGCTCTGTGCCATGCCTTGTATTCAAGGGGAAAGTTGGCTTATGTCCTTGATGGTGATAATGTTCGGCATGGCTTAAACTGTGACCTTAGTTTTAAAGCAGAGGATCGGGCAGAAAACATACGAAGGATTGGTAAAGGCCGTCTGATTCCTCATGATAGTTCTGTTTTGGTTTATCCTTTTGCTCTCTTATTCTGATGGTTACAAGTTACAGCTTGTTCTCGGTTTACCTACAGGAGAGGTCGCAAAACTCTTTGCTGATGCAGGCATCATCTGCATTGCCAGTGTAATATCTCCCTACAGAAAAGACAGGGATGCATCTCGTGCATTGTTGCCGGAAGGAGATTTCATTGAGGTACATGCTGCTTTTAAGAAACCTGAAATATTGAGGGCTTTGATCTTATTTATGAGAAAGGGCTTTGCATCAGAAGGCTCTACACTGCACTAAGAAAATACCGGGCAATGCTTTGAACAGGTGTTCATGAATGTGTCACTCCAAATATGCGAGGCAAGGGACCCAAAAGGCCTATACAAGCTTGCAAGAGCTGGAAAAATTAAAGGTTTATTTCCCCATTGGTTTTTGTATCTGAAGATGGGTATAAGCTCATATCGAATAGTAGCTTATGTCATATTCGCTTTGTAGGTTTTACCGGTATCGATGATCCGTATGAACCCCCCCTGAATTGTCAGGTATATGCATATAATGGGGGTACCTTTCTTGTTTGTCATAGGCTCATATTTGTTCAAAGATACACATAACATCCTTTATGTTCCGAACATAAAAAATTTAGCTGACACAAATCTTGAAATGGCTTTAAGACTGTCCAGGCTTACTTGCTAGTGTGGTCTTATGGATGGATATGGTTGTATGAATATGATAGATGTCAAGGCCCACTTGAGACTAGTTTTCAGAACGGCCATGCTTTCCACTTTGGTTTTCTTTGAATCTCATATTCCGACATTTAAATTGAAGCTCAACCCTTTCCCCCTATTTTGCAGCTAGAATTGCCACAAAAGGGAAACATCTGTGCTTCCCCATGCGAAATGGCTGAAACTGTGATATCTTACCTGGAGGAGAAGGGGTATCTGCAGGCCTAACAAGAGAGAAACCCTGCAATTCCAGGTTCCCATTATCATCTGTAAAATTAGTATGCTGGATCAATTAAATTTGATCCTTTATCTAAACTAAGCACGTTTCTCGTTTCCTTTATTAGTGACACCTTTGTTTCCTATATCCTTATCCTGTTTCTGGCATCAAGGAAACTCCTCGTTTCCTTTCTGTAGTTCATATCGTGTACTAGATAATTAATCGCTTGATTAATTACTGTTCTCTTTATTAGGCCTTCTAAAAGACTCGTAGTGAGTGAAGTGGGTTCAGTCATTTTAAGAGGAAGAAATGAAGATGCACTAAAGGTTGCTACATTGGTGTAGAAATTTGTATTTTATAGCTTTGTAATGACTGCTTTTGAATAAAAGGCTATCTCAAATTTTCACTGATCGTCACCCTTAGATTTGTCGATTTCTTCTTTGCACTTAAGTTTAAGTATAAAGATCGTATAGCAGTAATCCAGGATTTTTTTGGATTTATTATTATAAGGAAAAAAAGAAGATAAAAAGAAACGATTTGAGCTTTTATTATTTTGCATATCCAAAGTATTATAAATATACCAAAAATATAAATTTCAAAAATTTATTTTATTAAATATTCAAACACATAGTAGTATTCATGTTTTATTTATATTTCTTTTGTTCTTTAATTATTATGTTTATGTTGTTTTGTATCATGAATTAATTATTTTTATATCTTGTATAGTTTATTATTGTGTTTTAATTTAAATAAAAATATATGTTCACTTCGTGTTTTAAATTTTAATTCATGACATATTTTTTATAATAATTAAATTAAAAAAATTATATTCATGACATGTTCATATTATTTTTACGTTCAAATTATTATAATTGTACATTTTTTTACAGAGTAATAGGTGCTTTTAACCGAAATACATAGGTTTCTAGATTTCAAACCTAATAAAAGAACCGGAAACATGCCCATCTAACTAACTACCAGTCAAATCATATAAAAAAAAGTGTCACCTACAGATCATTTTGTTGTTGTTGCAAAACCATCCACTTTTGATCTTAATTTTGCAGAGACAACCGGTCTATAAGCTTTCTTCTTCCTATACGGCCAGAATCAGTATTGCATATCTTAAGTTCCAAACTTCGGATTTTCTATGCATGAACCAACTAGAATAAGCTTGAACAGAAAGCACGAGTTTATACCTAACAACCACACTACAACTTGGAAAATACATTAATCCGTGAAAAAAATGCTGATATAACACACACACGCACATATATTTTCTTGTTGATCACTATAAAAAGCTTGAACTGCAGCAATTAACAATGCTATAAAACAACATGATCTTAAAGAGATGGACACTATTAAAATTTCAATAGTGGAAAGGATGAAAAAAGAGAAGGAAGTAATGGTCAAGTGAAGTCAAAACCAATACCAATCCCTGGTCTTGCATGCCTATGAATGGACAAAAGGCAGACAACAAATGCCATTGTAATGGAAGTAGCAGCTGAACTCACAGCATCATAAGTTGCAGAGAACCGCCTCTCTTGCATGCCTCGGAGAGTCTTAACAAGCAATCCCAAGCCATCAATCACCATTGCCAGCACCACTGCCATCTTCAAAAGAAATATTGATCAGGAAAATTCAGAAACTATATCTTTCAGCTTTAAAGAAGAAAGGCTGAAGTGTGGAGTGCAAGTGAAGGTAAACGGGGTTGAATGGTTTAGGCTGCCTTCTTTTTTCTTCCTTTGCTCGTTATAAAATTGTATACACCCATTTTCGTCTAGAATTTTCAATTATATAATATATAGTATAGTTATTATATTATATTTCATTATTTCTTATTATATTATTTATTAATAATGTTTTTATTTTTAGGTCCAATAAAGAGTCAAGTCCAAATTGGGTCCAGAGTGAAGCCCAACCGATAAGCAAGCCTAACCCAGCAAGCAAGCCCGGTGGGAGCCCAATAAGGCCTAAGCCCTTATGCCTGACCCAACAGAGGCTAGGGTTTTGTACTTAGCAAGGGAGCCACAAGGGGGACATCAAATAGCGCATAAGGGCCACGCGCCGACGCCAAATCGAAACATCAAGCAAATCAGAGCAAAACACGGAGCAAATCGAAGGGGAAAATGTCCCTTATTTTTTCAGCAACAACATGCCGAGAGAATCAGCCACAACCGAACATACAAGTGAATCCCAACAAGATTGGGATTTTAACAACTTGATTCAAGGGAATTTTTCCATTTTCGAAGACTATAAAAGGCCTTCGATAAAGCTAAGGAAGGGCACGGAAGAAACAAAGCAATATACAAAAAATATACGAAAAACCCAAGCCAAAGTAAAAAGCAAAAAATGTTCGAAAGCAAAAACAAAAATCAAAGCTTAAAGCTTTGTTTCATTGAAGGTCGTCGGGAACACGTGGAAGCCTCGTCGAGAACAGAGAATCACCGAAAGTTGAAAAGGCTCACCGGAAAAGGTAAACCCAAAACTTCGAGTTTAGATCTACACCAGTAGGGAATGTTCTGGGATTATCAGGCCTCGGTTTCGTGTTCACGGTGCTGAGAGGAGTAGCTCGGAGGTAGTTTAGGTTTTTTGGTCGTCAGTGGCGATGGCCAGAGTGGTGGTCCGGGCGGTGGGGTATGGTCGGGTTTTAATCGGCTATACGCCGATGAGAAAATAAGGGAGAGGGTATTTGAGAGAGGGGGAGAGTGATTTTTTAAGAAATGTGTGAATAATGAAATGAAATAAGGGTTTTTGGGCTATTCATAGGGAGAACCAAAACATAATTAGCAAAATCTTAAATTATTTTTGCAGTCCCTGTAGTTTTGATGTGTAATTCATTTTGGTCATCTGTTGTAATTTTGCCCATGAATCATGAATTATTTCAAATTAATCCCTATTTATATTTCTTATATTTTGCAAATTGGCCCTCTAACCTTTTTATTTCTCCTTGCAACTTTCATTTAGCATCAATTTGACCCTTAATTATTTTTAATTCTTTTCAATTTAATCTTCTTTAATATTTGTTTATTTTACATTTTATTTTATTTTATTTGTTGTTTAACATCGATTTCACATTTTAGGCTATTCTAAAATTGGTCAAAGGTATGTAATTAGGATCGAACTTCTAAATTTTAATTTAACTTTTAATTTTCGCAATTAAGACAATCGGAAAATCAAATTGGTATCGAAAGGGCATTATAGGGATGATAATCCTTTCCTGACTGTAATCGTCTCCCGAATCCGACAAATTTCTAGTAAGTTGTAGATCAGACAATGATAAGTTATGGTATCCGAAAAACCAAATTAAAATGATTGGTGGTGACTCCATAACATCCCCTTAAGTTGAAACGCCATCCTGGGCCACTCGAATGACGGTTACGACAACTTGGCGACTCTGCTGAGGACAAGTAAGAGAGTCAGGCCAAAAATGATTCCCAGTTGTATTCTTAAGAGAAAGTTGTAAGTTTATATTATAATTTATCTTTTCGATCATTGTTATTTACCTTTGATTATTACTTTTCAAATAAATAGTTGGGCTGAGGTTTTCTAATGATTTCAGCTTTTTAAAAATCATTTATCTCAGGCTCTGTTCCCGAGCTCTAAACCATTTTTTAAGTAGGGGCAAAAGTGACGCCTTCGTGGGAATTTATTCTCCGTATAGGCCTAGCAAGTAACCTTCGGGATTCATATACCTTATATCTTCGTGTGGATTTATTATCCGTACAAACATAAGGGAATGTATCTTCTCGAGTTTAACTTAGTCCACAAGAGCCTGTGATGTAACACCCCTAACCCGTACCTGACCCGGATATGAATCCGATGTGTCATTGACTTTTCAAACATTGATTCATAACAAATAAGGAAAAAATTTAACTTTTATTCATATTAACAAAGTAAAACTCTTTAACTTAAAATAAAATATAAACTCATATTCATACTTAATAAAAGTCTTCAATAATTTACATAAATACAAAAGTAAGAGTTTACAAAAATATATTAGAGCATTTCAAATTAAACGTATAGTACATGCCAACAGTTTACAAAATTTTAGAAAACATACATTCAATTTGTCTTGATCTAATCTTCAAGGGAGTATGCTATCCTCGATAAGCTTCACTCTTTTGATTTCTTCAAACCTACGTGTGAAACAATCACACGCTAAGTCGATGACTTAGTGAGGCAATTACGAGAAACTAAAGTTATATAATCAAAATCTTTATTTATTTCATAGAAACATTTCATAAGGATTTTAAATGATTCTCCATAACAAGAATGTATGATTTTATACCTTATTCGTTTTATATACTTTGCTTTCAATGCCCAACGTATACTATTGAGAACTCTATGTATTTGAGTACATTGAGGTTGTGCACTAATGCTGTCACCACATATCTCATAATTTGCACCGAAGTGCCACATAATTACCACATAATTTGTCCCGAAGGACCACATAGGTTTTGTCCCAAAAGACCATATAATTTGTTCTGAATGACCACATAGAACCCTCGACTCTTGGCATGTCAACTATACCTCTAATCCTCATATATATACCTTGGGCTTTTAACCACATAATTATATGTCATTTATTATTCAAAGTATATCTTATTCACATAGGCACTTTCACATCGAATATCTTTGTATTCACATATATTTACATTTCACATTTTCATAGTCATACATCCATAAACATCAAAACATGGCTTAAACAATATAACTTGAATAAAACATTGTAAAAATATAAAATAAAAGAATTTGAAAGGTTTTTGATCGAAAACTTTGAGGTTGGCTTATCGCAAGCCGCTCTCAAATCGAATATAAAACCAATGAGTTGCACTCACCTTTGACTCACTGAAGTCCTAAACAAAGTCCTTAACACTTTTGATCGAAACTTATAATGTCGAGTTGACCGGAAGTTGATTTTGTTCAATGTCTACACAAAACAATCGAAAATAAATATTGGAATTAAAATCACTTATATCCAATCACAATAACTTAAGCTGAAAGAAAACACTTAATTTCTCATTTTATGCTCAATAGTATCGGTACTCCCACTACAGTACCGATACTTCCCTTCTATGGTATCGATACCCCCCTTCGGTACCGATGCCATTTAGACATTCTGGAATATATCTTGGAAATGGTATCGATACTATACCATTGGTATCGATAGTCCCATTTCAGTATCGACACCTTCCTCAACCAATACCGATACTGCTCTTCGAATTCAACTGATTTTGCCTTAAAGTATCGATATTGTTCTTCCAGTACCGATATCCCATGCCCAAAATTGCCATTTCCATTTCAAAATTTA